TCCTGCTCTTAATAGGTCACATAGTACTTATAGTACTTCCGTACAGTTTACAGCATTTACTATGAGAGAAGTGTCTGCGTCTGCCTGCTCAGACCTTGCTGAACACAGAAATGCATGACAGTGAACAGCTAATGAGTCCAAGAGATGGAATTCCAGAATCCTTTGCCTGTAATTCTCCGTCAAGAGCCCTGACATTAAAAATTGTTGTCAATTTGGTCTGAATATAGCTTGTGGAATAGTTTTGGATTAATTCAATCATAGCTAGCATGTTTTCAGGAAGGAACCGATTTGATATCTATATGATTTTACATCCTTAAGATAATTAGATTACCCATGACAACTTTGGCCACCACAGAGCAGAACTTCTGTCCCTTCATCCAAACATCTTCATTGTGATATATTCACAAGTAAATATGATAAAAGGAACTAAATGCCCTCTTCTGTACTCTGTGGCTCAAGATATGTCCCAAAATATGTCCCTACCTGGGCTGGGATTTGTAAAACCAGACTGAGACCATTACAGTCATCTAAAGATTATTGCCCAAACTACCTTTCAAAATTATTCTTTTTCTTAAAAAAATTTTTACTGCAGTCTTTAATCCATAACTGTTGCAGGCAATTACAATTATAATTTACTTTGTGAGTAGGTAGCTGGTGATTAAGTGTTACGAAAGTGGCGTATTGACTTGAAGGCCAGGCCAGAATATTATCTGCGACCTTTAATGTTCTTCCATAAGGGGCAGATGCTACAAAATGCCAACCAGGGCCTGTTGGAAGCAAGTCACCTCTCACCTGGGGCCAAAGTGAAATCAAGGCTTTGCAGGACCAAGTCTAGCAAAGGTCTGATCCTGTACCTCAAAAGCCTATCGAGTTCTGTCTTCAAGGACTGAAGGATCAGTTTCAGTGACAGTTTACCTTTGAATGATCAACAATTCTCTGTGCCCTATGCTTTTATAAATACACCCTCACATTAAGCTAGGCTAGAAAAGGTTTCTTTTACAACAAATTAATAAATAAAGCAGTTCTAGCTTGAAGTAAAATATACGGGAGATTGTTTCTAGGTAGAGCTGATAAAGAGCACAAGATTTCCTTTTAGAAGGGATATTTTACACACCTCTTCATGCATCATTAAGTTTTCAGGAATGCTGAATAGAGCATGATGGATTTGTTTTAAGTCATTGCTAGTATTTAATTTTGATTCAGTTCAAAGGGCCATGTCAGAAGAAGGAACTGAAGAAGAAGAAAAAAAGCCTGTTAGCTGGGTAAAACACCAATAAATAAATAAAAAAAAAAAGAGAAGGTAAAGAAGGTCCCAATACTTTTCACTAGTGACTGAAAATACCAGATTAAATTGCATTATTCCTGGAATGTATTGTTTGATGTGACTAGAATGTAATTTGTTAAACAGAATAGTTTTTATTTCAAATGCTTCTTTCCTGAGTATTACCTATGGATTAATGTTTGGGTTTGTTTTAAATAAATGAATAAAACATGCCTGTCAAGAAGCACATTTTAATGATGATTTTTTTGTGGTTGTTTTTCTTTAAAAGAAGTCAATTACTTAGGTTACACATAGCTCTAGGGGAACTAAAGCTCATATCTTCAGTGTATGTTAAATTAGCCTTCTTTACAATAATAACTATATATTATTCTTTTCTATGTTTTTTTTTTAATAATAGACAAAAAATAATATAAATATTTGTTTCACCAAAAGAAAAGAAAAAGCAATTTTTATACCTCTGAGGCAAGTTCCATCTCTTTTGGTTTCTTGAGGAAATAAATAAAAAGCATTGGCAGAAAGACTCCTAAAAAGACTGCCCAAGGGGGAGGGAAGGAAACACCTAAAAACATCATATTACCAAGCGCTGAGGTAATCAACTACAATCTGGGAAATGTCAAACAATGGTATTCACCTATCCAGAGATATTGCTGATCAAGTCCTCAACTGCCATTTACAATCACTAACTAAAACATGGAATATAGCTGTGGGTATAAACAAGAGACAAATTAGTATTGGGAAGCTGGGTTTAATAATCCCCTAAAAGAGACCATCTGTTTATAAAGACCCCCTTTTCCTTGATCTCTGACATGTATTCCTAATATAGACACAGCTGGATTTTTTTTTTTTACATTTTTTAAACACCCTGCTACCATAAAGTCTACTTATAGTATATCTGGTCTGAGTGTTTGTCTCAAGTTTCAGTTATTATGTAAGCACTCAGGGGCAATAAAATTTCACATCGAGTCAGCCTGCTTTGGAGTAAGTATTAAACCATCAGATGAACATAAATACAATTCCTTTATTATTGATGTTTAATACCACTGGATACTTTTTATCTTCCTGATTTTTGCCAATGTTCATCATATTATCACTGGAATGGCTGGAATAGATTTAGAGTTCTTTTCAAGTTCTGAATTCATGTTTGGAACTGGAGTTTAGTTTTCTTATTTTCCTGTTTAAAACACTAGGAAATCGTATTGTCCATAATGGATATGGCATTGATAACCTAACCAGCTAGGTGATTTGCAGGTATAAAAGACCAAATCAATTTATAGCCTGTGTTTCTAATCCACTATGCTGAAGAAAAGGAGGAAAAAATACCATTGACTATACACTTCCCACAGATAGAGGTCACTAATGGACTGGATTTGAATCCGTCTGGTAAAAGCCTGAAAGTTACATGAAAGTAATCTAGTGAGAAATGAACTCATTTTGAGATTAAAGAGGTAGCAGAAAAGATTAAGAAATAAAGCTCTCACCTTCCTGGAAACAATATTATCTTAAGTGTGCCAGCTTTATAGTCCTTTAAATAGAAAGCGCAGTACAGGAAAAGCCTGATAGCGATGCTTGTTTAAACTCCCTTTTTGTTTTCTTGACTGGGTAAAACTATGCCTCTCCTCCTTTTCTGCGGGAATGTCAGGGAAGTCAGCCCTAATAACATCCTACATTTTAGATACTGCTATTTTAAGCAGTTAAAGGCAAGCACATTCTTGATTCTCGAAGGAAACCATAGCCTGTGTAATGCAGATTCCAACTGGGAGGGTGTAGGGTTGCGCAAAGGAGATATGTCTACATCCTAAATCAAACTATCCAGCAGGCCAGGATATAAATGTGACTTGTAACAGTGGCTCAAATTAGATCCAGACTCTCAAAGCCAAACACAGATAACATCACCTTATACAAAATACAGGGTGTGGGTGTATGTGAGGAGCGACTCTTTTAAGAATGCTGGGTGCATTCCAGCACCACTTCTTGCTGCAGCCTTGGACTTTGGAAAACACTGATGACTGCTCTAGTCACAGGTAGTTTTACAGACACTGTATTTACACAGGGCTCTGACTTGCTTCACCTACAGTACTCCAGGCCTGAACTCGCTTACTTTTAACTGTCTCGCTACCATATCACGATAGAGAACATCTGTTTAAATAGCAAACCCCCAACAAATAGTAATGATGTTTTAAATCTCCCCTCTCACACAATTTTCAGGAATAAGAGCAACATTAACATTTTAACAGCACTTCTGTCACTTAGAAATGGTGACTTTTAAATAACAGCTATTGTACCTCTTTGATTATGCCTCAGTGATAACATTACATACATTGACTCTTTAGAGGAAGAAAGGAAGGAAAGGTGGATAAAGGCATAGGTACGGCACCTTCTAAGTGTTTGAAAAAATGCTTCCAAAAATACATACATCCAAAACCAATTCATGACTTTTCTCTGAAACTACAAATACATAAACTATAAATACATAAAGGTGCCCTTGGAGAAAGACCACTTCAGTGAATGAAGCAAGGAATTAAGTCCATGGAAGTTTGTGGGATTTTTTTTGTCTGATTGGTTGGCTTTTTTCAACCCAAGGAGTGATCAAACTCATCCTCAAAACTGGTCTGATTTCCCTGCAAGCACTGTAAGGTTAGATGCAGTAAATAAACCTCTCTTTAACACACACACCCTGTCTTTCTGTGTGTGTGTGCGTACACCTCTGTGTGTGTGAGAGAGCTCTGACTTGCTTTAGTGTCTTTTCCTGCTCCTCATGCAAGGCACCCCTTTCTGTTCAGCTGAGCTCTACATTGCAAAAAGCAGCATCTGAAGAAACGTAACCAGTACCTTCCACACACAGTACAGGAACTTACACGGATTTGTGCCTTGGATTTATTAGCTTATTGTAAGCCTTAAAACAGATTTCCTCCATTAAAATTAATTAAAAGCTCCTGTTGACTGATTCCCACTCCGAAAAAAAGCTGGAGAGTCTTAACTCTCTTACTTTGCTGCTGATTTCTTTATCTTTTATGGGGTTTTATCTCATGTTCTACAGAAGTCTGTTCAGCCGTTTGACTTCTTAATGAGATCTGCTATTTTTTGTGTGTGTGTCCCCCCGCAGTATCTGTTACTATTTCGCCAGAGATCACCCTGTAACTCAGCAGGTCAAAGGAGGGGGCTCCTTTATATTCCGAAGTCCTGATCCAATTCTCTCCCCCTCGCCCCCCCCCAGCTCTCCACCAGCCCCGCTCCGGAGGCTGCTGCCGGGGGATCCGACGGATCCTCCTGCCGGGCGCAGCTCCCTGCTCTCCCCAGAGATTCCTTAACACTTTCCAGCCCCGAGCTAAGCCGATCGCCTCTTCTGAGCACGGCTCATCTCTAAAGGTCCCGTTTCTCAAAGCCACCTCCTAAATCATACCGACGGTGGTGCTCAGAGAGGCGCCCTGCCGCTTCCCCCGCAGCAGGAGCTCTCGGCTCTCCCTTCCCCGCCCGGCGCCCTGAGGGGGCCGCGGGGTAGGGGCCGGGTTCCGCACCCTCCCGCACCCTCCCGCTCGGCGCTGAAACGCCGCGGGGACCCGGGACCCCGCTGCGGCTGCAGCTGCGACCCCCGAGTCCCCGCTCCTGACCCACAGGAAAAGAGCCCGGGGAGCCTCCTAACCCTCGCCGCCGGCCATTCACAAATCCGTGCGTGTGTGTGTGTGTGTGTGTGTGTGTGCCGGGTGCCGCACACCCGCAGATGCGGGGCTCTAATGAGGCGGAGGCGATATTTGTGACACACCACCTGATCCCCGCTCCTCAACTTCGCGGAGAAGGCAAAGGGGGCACCGCGGCTTCACACCGCACAAGGCTACAATTACCGGGAAGGAAAAGAGAAATGAAATCCCCACCGTACCTGGCGGCGTCTGGGAATCCCTCGCCGGCACCGATCATAATCCCCCTCCGCGCCTCTGGCCCCCCACA